AACGTAGACATTTCTCTAGCGTGGACATTTTCACTTACGTGACATTTCTCTAGCGTGAACATTTCTCTAGGGTGGACATATTATTTGCAATTAATAATTAGTAATTTAGTTTAACGTAGACATTTCTCTAGCGTGGACATTTCTCCAGTGTGGACATTTCTCTAGCGTGAACATTTCTCTGGGTGGACATATTATTTGCATTTGTAATTTTATAAATCGTATCTAGAATTTATTACTATAAATGGCATATATTTTGTATCATTGCGATAGCTCCTCTAATTTAAATGTTCCTTATAATATTTTAGATCGCTAATATTGCTAAGAAATGTGGTATAAATGAAGACAACCTCATCCACCTCCTCAATTACCTGAATGATGTTGGGATCATTCTGTATTCGCCCACTAACACGAAATTGAAGAACACTGTGATTACTAACATCCATTTGCTGATTGGTATCTTCATGAAAATCATCACAGTTGTGGAACCTGATGATGTTAAGGTAATTTTGATTATTCAAATGAACAATATAGCAATATATCATTTTAATTGTTTTGTTTATGAACTCCAGTCTGTGTGTGTGGGGGGTGGGGTGAGATTGTGCATTATTCTTAGATAAACTTACAAACACATATTACATACACTTGGTGTGTAAAGTATTATTACATACACGTCGGTATACACTTGGTGTGTAAAGTACATGAGAGCAGCTTAGCTCAGTCGGCTATTCTGGTGGTAGCCACTGTGTGTCCACTTGACCATGGAGATCCCTAGGTCTCCGGTTCAATTCCCATGGCAGCCTCTTACTAGCGTGTTTCAGCTGGAGGGCTGAAATACAATTTACAATTTACAGTAGCGCGAACCGTCTTTCGGATGAGACGTTTAAGCCGTTGGTCCTGTGTGCATTAATGGGCCATGTGCACGTTAAAGAACGCAGTAAACTCCTCGGAAAAGAGAAACGGATTGTCTCCTGGTGTACTGATCAATCACCACCAGAAGTATCCCACTGGAAATAAGTCTTCTTTTAGATTTTCGTGGGCTATCCTTGTGTTTACACCGAATAAATTCAATCCAATCCAAAGTAATCATTTACCACCTGGCTATGCTTATTAAGGAAGGGGGTTACATTGTAGTTTTATGATGAAATTAATTTGCTGGGTATATTATTTTAATAATCAAAGTTCTAGTCTATGGATTATTACTATATTTGTAAATGTACTTAGGTCATTTGATAGGACTAAACATACTTAGAAACCATTAAGTTTTGATGCTGTTAACATTTACAATACATCAAATAATGATGGCAGTAGAGAATAAGCCGATGTATAAATATATTATAGGCTCAATAATATCACGAATAGCATTGACGTAATCACTATTCTGTTTCAGTGGCGTATCTTGAAATGGAGGGGAAGAGGAGGTGGGATAAGGTGGGGATGGTTAACTGTGGGTAGGAAAGGTTGATGACTACGGGCGCTAGCTCGCCAAATAACGTGAATTTTTTTTAATACTTGAGCGTTGTTTTTGTTTTTTAAAGGTGTGACTGGGGGCCTAGTACTTTTTTCTGGGTGAACCCCTCCAACGCATTTCCTTTCCTTGCACCCCACGCACCTTCCAGGCCACGTACCCTCTAGAAACAAAACTGATATTTTTTCTGATAATTATTGTATTCAGCATTTTATAACCTTCGTGTAATCATTATATAGACCGCTCCAGTAATGATACAGTATTGGCGTAAGTTCGTTGAAGAAGGATTTCTTGCGGAACAACTAGTTCGTCATTTGTGGAGAAATGAGCTTACTGCCAGTCCTGATGAGAATGACGTCATCTTTGGAGACTTCATTGAAATTATGAAGACATTTGGACTTCTCTTTGAAAAGGTATCATATCATATGTATTATTAATGTGTTTAATATATGTTTATTTCATACCGGTATTACATATTTTAATACATAATTGACACAAAGAAAAACGCAATTTCTGCAGCTATCTTTTTCAGTATTTGTTAACCATTATATCGAACTGTTTTTGTCCATGGCACAACTTTAAGCCTCCACTCGTACAGCTTGTATGACTATCTAATTTTATATTTATGTTTATGTTTTTATTTTTTATCCCAGGGATCTAAGAAAGGCAGTAGAATGTTCATCGTTCCTTCTAGGATGAGCCTTAAAACATGCAACTTGAATGTTGGGAAAGACGACGAGCAGACAGTATCGGTTTATGTGACCCCCAAAGAATTTCTCCCTGACGCTGTGTACAACGTCTTGGTAGTTAAATTCCTAGATCTCAGTCAGGACAAAGCATGTAGTGGAAACCCGGAATTGTTTCAGAATCAGGCTGAAATAGATTTTGACGATATGCATTACTTGAGACTCGGGTTTGTGTGCATTAACAACAAACGGTCACTGAAGGTAATCATGTTTTTTTCAGAAAATTAACACATTCCGTTGGTATATTTTGTGCTACTTCATTCATTTACTAACTATTCATGATGGAGGAGCCGTGAGAAATTGAGGGAACGCTAGGTAACTGCGCAGGCGCGGATCCAGCAGGGGAGCACAGAGGGAGTTTTCCCCCTGTTTTGTCATTAAATTTTAAAATTTCAACACATCAATGCTATGTATTTAAAGAAGCGCTACTCACTTATATATTCTGAAATGTTGTGATCTTCCTCCCCCTCCCCCAACCTGTTTGAAAAATTCTGGATTTGCCCTGCTGCGATAATAAAGTGTTTACATCATTTTAACTACCAGACTAATATTTATGCTTAATAAATTTATATTGTTGGCTCAGGAACGTAAATCCTAGGCATGCGCTCCCCATTCCCACAAAAATACGTGATTGACTGTGAATGATGGTGAGGATAGAGAGCAGATAGTATGAATATGACTACATCGCCCAAATCCAACCATAATCCAACCAACAATAATTTTTAAAGTAATTTATGTTATCTAATATACCTAATTATACGGCTTCTTTTTCTATGAACAGTTGGAAATAAAAAGGAGAACAGAGATAGATGAAGAAGGTAAAAGAAATCCAGCATCAAAGCCAACACCTATCGCCTGCATGGAGGTAATCTTTATGATTATTAACTGCTTCAATTACAGTAATCATACTATTAGGGCTGTGCGTGTTAACATTTATTTATCGTTTTCAAATCAACTTTTCAAATCATAAAGTATTCTTATTAAATGCCTTTGGTATTTTTGCTGTTGTATATGTCCTGTAATTTTATGTGATCGATTAATTTCCATTTAAAAGCACTAGTTTTCTGTATTTTTTATGTAAAGAAATTGTTTGCTAAAATATATGTAACCATTGTTTTATGGTTTATTACTTTTAGGTTATATTTATATTATGTATACAGTAATTTCTACCAATGTGTTTTTGGTGAAGTTTTTCTTTTCTTTGAGATTTTACAATTTATTTTTACATCAATATTGTATGGAAGCAATATAGCCATACAGGTTTAATTTTAATTAATGAGAAATTGAATTGATGTGTATTTTATATTTTCAACACTACTACGAGTGTATGCCATAACTTTAAATGTCATTTATTTTTACAGATCTTACATGTTCTTAAGCGTCATCTTTATGACTTCTATCCTTCTGAAGATGGCGTCAGTTCAACCTTAAGCATTCTGTGTCCAGTTTGCTCAGTAATTGGTTTGATCCAGGGAAAGCTCCATTTGCAAAGTTTGGAAAAGTGCTTAAATTCCAACTTTATTCAATGCAAGACAAATGCAATGCCAACAGCTAAAATACAGGCATTATTTCAAGCAGGTATTAAGCCTATGTATTTTTGTATACGCTGTGTACAACGTCTTGGTATTTAAATTCCTAGATCTCAGTCAGGACAAAGCATGTAGTGGAAACCCGGAATTGTTTCAGAATCAGGCTGAAATAGATTTTGACGATATGCATTACTTAAGACTCGGATTTGTGTGCATAAACAACAAACGGTCACTGAAGGTAATCATGTTTTTTTCAGAAAATTAACACATTCCGTTGGTATATTTTGTGCTACTTCATTCATACTACTAACTATTCATGATGGAGGAGCCGTGAGAAATTGAAGGAACGCTAGGTAACTGCGCAGGCGCGGATCCAGCAGGGGAGCACAGAGGGAGTTTTCCCCCTGTTTTGTCATTAAATTTTAAAATTTCAACACATCAATGCTATGTATTTAAAGAAGCGCTACTCACTTATATATTCTGAAATGTTGTGATCTTCCTCCCCCTCCCCCAACCTGTTTGAAAAATTCTGGATTTGCCCTGATGCGATAATAAAGTGTTGACATCATTTTAACTACCAGACTAATATTTATGCTTAATAAATTTATATTGTTGGCTCAGGAACGTAAATCCGTAGGCATGCGCTCCCCATTCCCACAAAAATACGTGATTGACTGTGAATGATGGTGAGGATACAGAGCAGATAGTATGAATATGACTACATCGCCCAAATCCAACCATAATCCAACCAACAATAATTTTTTATGTAATTTATGTTATCTAATATACCTAATTATACGGCTTCTTTTTCTATGAACAGTTGGAAATAAAAAGGAGAACAGAGATAGATGAAGAAGGTAAAAGAAATCCAGCATCAAAGCCAACACCTATCGCCTGCATGGAGGTAATCTTTATGATTATTAACTGCTTCAATTACAGTAATCATACTATTAGGCCTGTGCGTGTTAACATTTATTCATCCTTTTCAAATCAACTTTTCAAATCATAAAGTATTCTTATTAAATGCCTTTGGTATTTTGCTGTTGTATATGTCCTGTAATTTTATGTGATCGTTTAATTTCCATTTAAAAGCAACAGTTTTCTGTATTTTTTTATGTAAAGAAATTGTTTGCTAAAATATATGTAACCATTGTTTTATGGTTTATTACTTTTAGGTTATATTTATATTATGTATACAGTAATTTCTACCAATGTGTTTTTGGTGAAGTTTTTCTTTTCTTTGAGATTTTACAATTTATTTTTACATCAATATTGTATGGAAGCAATATAGCCATACAGGTTTAATTTTAATTAATGAGAAATTGAATCGATGTGTATTTTATATTTTCAACACTACTACGAGTGTATGCCATAACTTTAAATGTCATTTATTTTTACAGATCTTACATGTTCTTAAGCGTCATCTTTATGACTTCTATCCTTCTGAAGATGGCGTCAGTTCAACCTTAAGCATTCTGTGTCCAGTTTGCTCAGTAATTGGTTTGATCCAGGGAAAGCTCCATTTGCAAAGTTTGGAAAAGTGCTTAAATTCCAACTTTATTCAATGCAAGACAAATGTAATGTCAACAGCTAAAATACAGGCATTATTTCAAGCAGGTATTAAGCCTATGTATTTTTGTATAAATTGAGTATTAAGAATCTTAACGGTGCACCCATCACATGATTGTGAATAATAAGTGATGACTTTAACCAATTTTTACTTGGCTAAGCCTTTGTTAACTTACATTGTACAATCATTCATAATGAACTAGCACTATTAAGATTGAAGGATTGTAAAAATAATATTGCTTGATACATTAATTTGGACAATGGTGGCGGAAGTGAGGGGGGGCCAAGGGGGAAATTGGCCCACCCACTTTTTCTACTGGATGGGCCTGGCTCCCCCCAACTTTTTTGACTGTTCCCAACACTAGTGACAAACATTTTCGCAATTTCATTTTTATTATTATTATTATTATTATTATTATTATTATTATTATTATTATTATTATTTGGTGCTTAGAGATCTTGTTTATCCTTATAAATTGACCTGATATTATTATTTTAAAATATAATTTTTTTTTTTCATTTTCATTAAAAGTTCCCTTTTTGAGTTGAACAACGAAATGTTGATTGACGTCTGTATACGTCTGTATATAAGTCTGTAAAGTTACCCTGAAACCCACCCTCGAGCATGAGAATAGAGAATGGACTCGCCCGCCTTCGTGCATTCTGTATTTTGGCATATGTTGGGAGGTCCTCTTTATGGAGTGACGCTCTTTATGTAAAAAATAAAATGTACAATAAGTGTAACTGATTGGCTTAGAGTAAACCTTCAAACTAGCGTAACATAACCACATTTAAAATTCATTTAACGAAAACAATAAGATACTTAATTAGGCCATATTTTAAAATAGAGTTCTATGAAGGTTACCTACAGAATTTACAGTACACTGTAGTTAATGTGTTGTAAAAACTGTATTAAATAAACAAAATCTTTCGAATAAAAAAAATATATATATATACATATATTTCGCTTGATTTTAGGTAGGCCTATTAGTCATTGTGAAACAAAATGATAGGCTATGTCAAGTGTTAGGACTATATTAAACAGTGGTGGATTAAATGGAGAGCCCAGCCCCCAACCTCCTAATTTTTTTCAAAATTGTTTTTTTTTAAATGAAGGAAAAAAAATTATATTTAACTTTTAATCTGAGAGTGCCATTCTGACCACTTAGAGGTGTCATAAAAGTTGGAGTAGGCCTATAATAATTTCAGGGTTACTATAGAATTAGTAATTTTTATCCATTATAAAAAAAAAAAATAAAGAGAACAGACAAAATTGTATTCAACGTTTATCTGAGAATGCCACTGACCATTTAGAGGTGCCATAATCATATTTTTTCCCTCAGCCCCAACTGTCGTGGTGCTGAAGTGGGTGAACATTCCATTAGTAAAAGACCCTCCCTGGGTCCCTTCTATTTTGACTTCCTGGACCCGCCACAGTTGGAGTAGGCCTCTCATTTCCGGGCTACTATAGAAGGGTAATTTCTATCCATCGGGGGAAAAGTGAAGGTTTCGTTGGAGAATACCCATATCAAGGATAACCCTCATGATTAATAATTCATTGAGATCGTGGAAGCAATCCCGACTTCGACTTTGCTCGGAAATCAATGGCGAAGTCTGAGAGTGCAATTTCTGATCTAGCGGTGCCATAATCCACTAAAAAAATAACAAGTATGAAGTCATATTACAGTAGCTTGATGCCTGTAAAATAACTAATCAAATTCACCAAACTTCATCAAAAAAATGTGTAGCTTCGCTCCCTTAGTGTCCCGCGGGATCTCAGCCTAGATGCTCGCTTTGCTTGCATACTGGACCTTATGAAATGCCCCCCCACCCCACTTTCAAAAAAACGTTCCGCCGTCGTTGAATTTGGATATATTATTTTCAATGCTCAGTATATACTACGCTTGTATTATGTTAAACAGTACATGATTCGAATTGTAAAAAAGTTAATTTAGAAACATTTGTTTAAATTTTATTTGCATGCTTTAAAACCTGAATTTGTTATTAATTAGATTTGAGCTTCAGCAAAGAAATCAGGAATTCCTACGCCCTCCAAGTATTAACCACTGACCTGGGAACAGAGAAAATGCGAAAGTATTTCATGATGAAAGGTAAACTGAGAGGCAAACATGAGGTCGGAAAGTTCCTGTCATGGCAGAGAAAAAATGGACCTTTAAGGGATGTAGACTTTGGAGACGAAGCAACAAAGATTTTCATTGACGATGTGGACATCGACTCGTTTGATATTACCATCCTGATGTCCTTAATTCAACATTGCTTTAGTCCTCAAGGCGATAAATTCTGGGAGAATCCACCAGATGTTCAAGACAAGTCTGAACTGGCAAATTTGAGACGCATTCAACTGTACAAAGAAAGCACTCTAGACTGCAGTCACATCAACAGGACCACAGATGTAGAGTTTGACAAACAGTGGAAGGAACTTGCCACGATCTTTAGAAACATCGGAGTTCCCAATGAAGACATTCAGAAATACCACAAGCTAAGCATAGCACAACCAGTTAGAGGTAAAACTTACTGCATAGATTTTGTACTTTGAAATATGGAACAAATGAATTTGATATTATTAATTTCTATATTCCATCAGGTGCTCTATATCCGATTGATAACATACTAAACTGCTAAATAATGAATAATTAAAATTGCAACTAAAGGTATTGCCAATGAATTTAAATTAACCAGTTGTTTTAAATGTTTACTGTATTTCCTAATTTTGATTTATCTATTTACTTAAAATAGGGTTTGAGCAGGAAAACGTTGAAGAAATCAGAAATTTTCAAGTTATTCTATCAGCTGTCGTTGATGTCGGCACTGAAATAATGAGGGAGTACTTTTTGGATGTTGCTATTCAAGACAAGACAATCAGAGGAAGCAAAATTACTAAGCTAGACAAGAAAGATGTTGGACAGTATCTAATGAACGAGAACAGGAAAGGTAGCTTCAAAAATGCATGGAAATTAATTACTCCTAAGCAAAAGACAAAATTGTTCACACCAAATGCTGACATTAACACGTTTGATATTTCGATTATGATGATAATAATCCGTAACTGCTGTAGCGTGCCAGACTCTTTCTGGGAGAACCCAGATAGACTGTATAGCTTGGTGCACATCCATCACTACAGGAACACAATGCTTGCACATTCACCTAACAGTAGAATGTCAAATAAAGATTTTGAGATCGAATGGAAGAAAGTGAGATCAATGCTACACGCTGCTGGTGCTTCTTTCAATGAAATTGACAAATATAGAGGGCTAAGATTACATTAAAAACGAATTAAAAGGCGGAACAAGTATGGTTAGATTTTACAGCACTACGATGTAACTACCGTCATCATTGGAACCTACTCACTGACGTCATCATAACTGAATCAAATTTTGTGCAATGCTTTGATTTTTTTGTGGTGTATTTGTAAATTTGATAATTAAATAATAGTTAATTAAATTTATGTAGTACTGTATAATATAGTATTTTATTTTTCGTGAATTTCTTATGTTGACAATTTTAATAAATTTGAAGGTTACTTTTACGTCAATTCTCCCTGTCTTTTTGCTAATGCTTGGTTAATGTTTACATTTTGTATAATACTATGTATTTTTGTAAAAGAGCCTTGGCTGCGATTTTGATACAAGATACAAGAAACTGAAACTGATTCAGATCACTTATACCGACACGTCCTCTCATCTAGCACTTTCTATTAGAATGCCCACAATTTTATAATATTAGGGCTAAGACCTTCTATGAAATTGAAATTGCTCTATTTAACAATAATTTACATGAATATTAGGAAAATTTCTGCAATGGCTCACCAGATCTAAACATTCATTATTTGCTTGATGATCTTTTCTCAACAAATTTCACACTCGGTTTAATTTTTGATACATATATTAAAGAATATCTAAAAGATGCATGGGATAAAAGAGCACATGTTTTAAATGACCCTGCTAATAATGTTGATATCTTATAAATTTTTCTTTTTCTTTCTTTAATGATTTTTTTTTAATTGAAATTAACTCTACTTCTGTTATGTTTTTTGAGATGTATGCTTTTACATCAATTTCACTTGTATTTATTATATCATGTGCTTGTTTTTATTTATTTATCTATTTTTATTTACTTTATTATTATTATATTTTTTTTTGCTTCTAGTTAAGATTTTAAACTTTAGAATTATATAAATTTAATTTGCATTTGGATTTTTCATTACTATTTTCTTTCTTTTTGAGAAATTGTTATCTTTACTTGTAACTTTTGTTCTGTTGTATGTATGGTCAAACCTCTCCTGCTTGAGAGTGTTCCTGTGCTTTGAAAGAGAGAGCTAATAAATTATTATTATTATTATTATTATTATTATTATTATTATTATTATTATTATTATTATCATTATCATCATCTAAGCTCTCTCATTTAAAAGCTGCATTCACATCGAGTCTGATCTGAAATTTGGAGCGCTTTTCCGATGCGCTGAACGCCGGCGGCCCTATTCTTACATACTAATCCGATTTTATGATCTTATAAACTACACGACAAAAAGATAACGGCATAATAAACTTTAGATGGCAACTATGTATATTAAACATGTCGCCACTGCGCATAGACTATGATGAGGATTCCCAGACACCCTTTGAATTGATTCCTAAAATGACTTTATTTGGTCAGTTATCAGTACAGTATTTAATTATGTTTTCCACTTTATTTTTACAATCTTTTGGAATGATATGTCTTAAGAATACTTGGATACGTCTCCAAGTGTCTATTTTCATTTGTTTCAGCGTACAGGTACTTGAAGGCTACATGTTTCGTTTTATAATCGATATTTTTTTAATATATGATTTGTTTTTCCATTTTTTGGGTTTCAACTACTGAACCCGGCCGGATCTAGTGAATAATTTTGATAAGGGCCATGTGTGTGCGTTGTGGTGGTGTGGTATAGTCGACTGTAAAATACGATCGCTTTTATAGAGTACAGTACATAGAGAAATGGTATCATGCAGAGCTTTCGATACGATTTTTTACTCTCCCCACTTCCTCCTTTCTCTTTATTCTGTCCCTTTGGGGGCGGTGGTGGGCTGGGGCTCTAGCCTCATTTCTTCTCCCATAATATTTAAGCTATTTATAGCTGTAATTTATGGATACCAATGACTGTCACTTTGGAATGAGAAACATGTATATAATAATAGTAGCAATAATAATGATTATAGTAATAAAAATATTTAGGTCTATTGCAATAAATGATAAGTTTCATAGCAACAAGAAAATGATCAAAATGGTAAATAGATTTGTATTATTGAGCTTGTATGCTTGTAATTACGCCTTATGAAGATTGAAATTTAGCAATAAATAATAAAAAGAAAAAAGAGAGAAAAATGCTTAAGTAGTATTCAATGGTTATAATGCTGATATGGAGATGATGATGTGAATGATTAATAATAATGATGATAATGATAGCGGGGGGAGGGGGTAAGGAGAAAAAAGGTACCGTGAGTTCAGTGGCATATCCAGCAGTGGGCAAAAGGAGAGCTCGATTATTTTACCACTCACTAATTTTGAATTTTTTATTGATTGACGAACACTATGCTACTCTCCCCGGCCGACGGTGATTTTTTACAGCGATTTCATAAATCAGGATGTAAAAAATATCAAAAGACGGAGAACAAAGACTGAGTTTTTTTAGCCGGAATACCAGCTATAGAACAGCTATCCATGCTCAGTGGCGTAACGCATGCACTTCGTGTGGCGGTCCTCAGGGCCACCAACCCTTAGGGGCCACTTTGGTGCCCCTACGCATATGGTCCAGTAGCGTCCTCGCTCTATAGCACCCTGATCCAAAAAGGGCTTTATTGATACATAACAGCATAACGTGTCACTGACATCGACTGCATGGCATACGGTATATTATATTAATCCAGTGGAGGTGGGTTATGGCGGTAAGGACCCCCATACATTGTAAACGTTAAAAAAAATGAGATAAAATATTCAAATGTCAATCCTGAGAGTGTCTTTTCCGACCGTCTAGAGGGGGGCCTATTCTTAAAATTTGCTCATCTCACCCCCAACCATAGTGGGACTGAGGTGAGTGTGGACTACCTATTGCCCCCCCCCCCAAACTTAAGTTTCCAATTTTCTCTGAGAGAGGGCAATTACTGTATGTCAGTCAGTTCGCATGCGTTGATCGGAGGAGATTCGCCCACACAAACGTACAAAGGTACAAACCCCATCCACACACGTCACTGGCTGCGCGATAGAAGGAAGGATGTAGAAGTCTTACTGTAGTTTATAATGAATATAAAATTAGTACAAAATAAGACACAACGCATTTCTTTATTGTTTTTATTTTTGTGACGATGTTACCTTTTTTTTTCGAGAGAAGTCTAATAAATTTAAATATATTTTATGTGCGAAAACATGTTTCTAATAACACAGTTGAAAAATGTCACTCGGAAATGTATGTAATTTATCATAAAGATAAAATATAAAACAGGTACAAACATAAAATTTAAGTTTTGTTTTGTTTTTTAATTATATAAGCCTGCCTAATAAAACTTATAGAGGTATATATTTGTTAATCCTTTAAATTGCATTTAATGTAACAACTGATAATGGGTCATAACAAACACAACACAAGTTAGGAAAACATCAATTAGACATTGATTTGATAATTGATTAAACAGTTTTTATCGCACTCTGATTGGACACTGCACGCCTGGCGCTCCATACAAATTACTTGTTTATAGACTTGCGGCCACTTCGACGACTCGAGGCCGTTTCTGTACCCCCGGCCCGCAAAAACTGTAGTACGTAGCGTACAGTAAACAAGGAGTCATTCATTTGATACTTTAGATAGCCATTAAGGTCAAACGTTTAATGATTATTATTAACTATCATTTTGAACTAAGGAGGCTTTAGGCTAGTAGTAGGCTAGGCCTACCCAGCTAGGCTTGTTATTAGTTAGGGCCTAGCTAGGGCCCGGCTTAGTAAGTAGAGGCCTAGGCCTAGGAGTAGGCTAGGCCTAACCTAGTAGGTAGGTCTAGCCTAGGCCTTGGTAGGCTGGGCTGGCTATCTGGTCTGGAAGCCTAAACTAAGTAGTGGCTAGACCAGGGACTAAGTACAGTTGAGGTTATTTTTAAGGCCTAGCTATATATAGGCCTAGCCTACCCTAGTAGGCCTGATTCTGAAGCCTGGGCCTAGTCTGTGGTGTGGTAGCTCCAGCGCAGCGGGGGTTGGGGCGGCAGGGGGAATTTCCCCATTGGATAGACCCCCCTGTCGTTCGAGGCACTCCTAAGTTGTTCGGATCCAAAATTAAAAATAATAGTTTTTTACCTATCCAAATTAAACATACCGTGGCATTATTTTGACTGACTGTCGACAGTGTCATCATATTATTGTGGTCTATTGCACATTGGACCATTCTAAGCGATAAAAACTCTCCCCGTGCACCCTACAAGGTCCAAGGGAGGTTTTATTCAGGGCTGAGGCTTCATTAGCGCCTGCTTGTCTCGGACTTCCGTTAGACCTATTGTCGGCAAGTCTCTGGCTTCACCTCTGACTCTAGGCCTAGCTTATTGTAGTAACACAAAAATGTTTGTTGCATTTGGCCAAGAGCTATGTCCCTGCTTCTTGCACTGTAGACCCCGAGTCGGGTTTTAAATAAAGTCAGATCGCTCTTCTCCTTGACAGTGGCGGCTCTAGGATATAA